GTTGAACTAGTCATTTACGAGAAGAATCTTACGCTAAAATTATTCAAAGAGAGAAACAAGGTTTTCTATGGTATTTTAAGTGTAAGGCCTGGACTATGTTTTCGCACAACACGCGACACGACGAGCTTTTTCGTAGCACAGCCAATCTTCCCCAGTGTAAATATTATCGAAGAGGTTTTGCGAGTTCACCTTTCTACGTCACTTCCGGTTTTTGGCCTGTGATCCAAAGCTCGAACCGCAAGTCAAGAACAGTCCCCATTTACACAAAAAATACGAAGATTGACCACTTGTAGCTGTTCAATGCTTCTTATTTGGGTTATAAGCTATCTTTTTTTAAAATGTTGTTCTGAAGTGTAGAGTATCCCTTTAACTCAAGAAAAGTCCTGGAGGAGAAGCTTAGGAAACTGTGAGAGCAAGGCAAAGGAAAGTGACCAAACCGATCCAGAAGTTTGACGAAAGAAGAGGAAGAAGTCCTCTGGCAGAACGGCCAGCTTGGAAGAGGCACTCTACAAGCTCTACTTAACACCACGTGGTGGTGCTCAATCAGCACTTTGGCCTATGAGGTCGACAAGAACGCCACCAAATGAAAGTTGACAATTTACAACACAAAGATGACAGAAACGAATTTCTAACTTTTGCAAAAGGTCCAACTAAGACGAGACAGGCAGGACTTACATGTAGTGGGAAAACCAGACTAGTCACCTTCAAAATGTTTGCCACAAGGATTGAGGAAAGGTGCCCCGTCATGTTGTTCAAACGATATCTGGAGAAGCGACCAAGGGAAATGAAGAAAAGCAGTCTGTTTTACCTCACTGTCATTGACAAGCCAGTTTCAAGCATTTGGTACAAGAAAATTCCAAGGGGAAAGAAAACCATAAACACAATCATGAAAAACATGAAAAAGAACTCACTGCTGAAGGATCTGTGTCCCGAGAAGAATTTGATCAACCACAACTTGCAAGAAAGACCGTGGTCAAGAAGCTGAAAAGTTCTGGTATCCCGAAGTGTCAAATAAAGAATATCACAGGCCACACATATGCCCAAGGGCTTGACAAGGAGACGAAGTAGAGCAGCAGATCATTTCATGAGCCATTGACAACACTGGTTCTGTTCATTTAAGACACGCTCTAAGTCAACTTTATCCTGCAAATTCCACTGCATCTTTGTGTTCTCCCGGCTATGTTTACAATTTCAGTCACTGCAGCATCACCTTGAACATTGCCGGGAATGATGCTATTCAGAAGAGCACAAGTGATATTATACATGTACATGTAGGTGAGGATACAAGCGTATCTTCATCAAAGAATCAGATTTAGAGTGATCTGAAAGCGTTTTGAATGCTTTAACTTTGTTTGAAAAAGCACTAACTTTATATTTTCAAAGTTGAAAATTTGTTAGCAGGGCGGGTTGTCAATGTCCTGGTATCTTTTTGCAAAAATAAAATTTCATTCAGCTCATTTGTGCGTTTGTGGTGATTGATTCTTTGTCAACATTAAAATGACTTCCTGTGACTGATTACTCAAGATCGCATTCAGAAATTCAGTAATCTCCCCCTCTATTTCATTAACAAGTAATCGCAATTGGTCCTTGTCCTCGTCACTGCGTGACTCAGGCAATTTCAGCAACTTCTGAAAACACGTGTGATATTAATCCTTCATTTTACTCGCTCCCATGTGATTACCACTACTAATTTCCTTATCATACAGCCATGTATAAAGAATTTCTAAATATACATCCTTGTTTAATAAAAACCTACATATACACTGTACATGTGTATCAGACTGTTGCCAAATTGTTCTGTATGTGGGTTTTCAGTGTATATATTTAACATTTTTTACAGTTGTAGTACCAGTATCAAAAAACTATTAGTAAGTATTAATTTGTCTTCTATAAAAATGTTTTTCACAGCTCATGTTTTGAGTAGTTTGAGATTATTCAAACTCAAAACTGAAAGACAGAAAAATCTAAACAGAAAACCTCACCAAAAAAGTGTAAACTGAAATGAAAATACCTTCTCAAAGGACCAAAAAAATTGAAACAGAGTTGAGTATGCTTGATTGTCCCTTGATGCTACTGGTGAAATTGCCTGTTGTTGAAAGAATTAACCCACAAAATAACAAGTTTGCTACGGGTGTGGAGAGCAAGGGTACAGGTGACTCAAAACTTAATGACAGCCCTGCGAAAAACCTTACCAAAAAATACAAACTGTAGAAATAACAGTTTTTGCCACGGTAAATCTGGGTTACAGCTGTAGCTAAATTGTGCTTTGGACAACCTGGCCCAGGGTAGAGTAAGAGGGACCGCGAGAGTAAGGTGTCTTACTCAAGAACACAACACAGTGACCCTTGACCAGGACTCAAATCCAAGTCTATTGCATGAACAATCCTGTACTTCCTTCATTACTTTTAGTTAAGCCATGGCTTCCAAAACCAAAGGAGCCTACTGAAGAGAAGACATTCAAGGGAGATGATGTGCCATTTGAATGTGCGGCCAAAGGATTTCCTCTGGAGGTTGAATGGAAGGTTAAGAGGAAGAATGAGGACACTCTACTGACTTGTATAAGTAAGTTTGGTTGAGACGTAGTTTTGATTTCATGAAGATTTCAAACAATCTTTCAATCTTTATTCAATCTTTGTTTTCGTTTCTTAATTTACATTTTTATTGTTAGACTGGCCTGCAGATAGCTTGTGCTAGTCTAGGTGGGCCAGTCTATTAAGATCTACATGTAATTACAAACATTTTTATTAATAAATAGCTTACATTTATAACAGAAAATTAGGGAAAAGTAAATAAAATACATGTAGTAAGGTGGGAAAAGAATGAAAAAAGAAGTGAGGGGTTATCAGATAGATTAGATGATATGTATGCAGATAGGATAATTTTTGAGTACAATGTAGCTTTGTAAATAGTGTACTTTTTGTATTCGATTTTTGTATTTGTTTCTATGTAAATATCTATCTTAATTAGGGACATATTGTAGCCCATTAACATTGTTATATTTAAATGTAACATAAGATATGTAATTTATCTTTTGAACAATAAAGACACTTTATTTATTTATTTATTTATTTATATATTTATTTGTTTATTTATATATTTATTTATTTATTTATGTACATCTACATGTATTATTATTTTATAATAATCTATTATTATATTTAACATCTAGATTATTATTTTACAATAACTAGATGTTCATGTAGTACATGAACATGTTAACTGTACCCCTTATACCAAAGAAAAAATACAAACTGTAGGGGAATCCTGATTCTTTAAACCATTAAGGGGAACAGAAATTGATTTTATGTTTGACCACTGGATTAGTGTTTGATCACTAAAAAACACAATAGTCTCCAATAATGCATGTACTCTTTCAATGGAATGCCTGGTTTCACATGGCAGAACAAGCTTAGAATTAAAGGTGTTGATAATAATTATGTATGAAAGTGAAGAATGATCATTGCAGTAAATTTTCCAATTTAAGCAATTGGAAAGAAGAAGCCTGAAAAAATCAGGGCGTTGAAGGCTTCTTCTTTCCAATTGCTTAAATTGGAAAATNTTTTTCAGGCTTCTTCTTTCCAATTGCTTAAATTGGAAAATTTACTGCGATGATCATTCTTCACTTCCATTTACAACCGCAGTTCAAATAAAATTATGAATTATTTCATATATTTCATATACACTTCACATCAAATAATTATGTATGTCCTGTCAGATGGTTCAGATGGAAATTACAAGATTCACCGTGCCAGTAAAGATCACCCTTACATTCTGACGATATCCGATGTGCAGTACACTGATCGTGGATTTTACTACTGTTGTCTCCCCTCCAACTGTTCCGAACATGTTGATGAATGCCAGAAGTTCATCCTTCGTGTCCGAGGTAAAGTCTATTTTTGGTGTGATGTGTAACGTGGGCATAAACAAAGATTATTTACTTTTTGATGGTTGAAAAAAGAAAAATCCAAGTGATTTTCTTTTCCAATTCTACATTTTTCGAAAAGAAGTACAAGACATGTTCCTTGTGTTTTTATGGAGTTCTGGTAATTCTTTTGAATGTTTAATACAGCTTGCAAAGCTTTGAAACACTTGCCTGCAGCTTGTGTTATTATAGCATTTCTCGTACTCCAAGATTCCCACATGCAGGGGTCTCATTAACGTCTTCAGTAGGAGGGTAAGTGGTTGTTACGGGTGCGTGAAACCCTTTGAACTAAACTTCTTTACAAGAAAAACTCTGCTAGATGGTCAAACCAGGCGGGCAAAATCATCCTCACGGCTGGTCAATTTGTGCGGTGCCCCACCCTTAATGAAACCCCTGCACTTGTGTACTATTTAACAATTACCCTACAAGCCCAAGTCTTCTACGTGTGTGAGCAGATAGTCAACATGATGGAGCCGAGTTAACTATCATTTGTAGAAAAAGAGGGCAAGTAGTCTTATTGTTTTAGTATTATAATTATTTTTATCGTAGTCTCATTGCATATTGTGCTGCAACTGGAAATTTCAAGGGTTTTCAACGTTGCACGTGACGTGCACTGATGCATGTCGAAAAAAATCATGTGTATAATCACATGTGCAACTGTAATTTATTTAATAATTTGATTTGTACTACGAGCTCAAGATTTCTGTGAAGTGATAGTTGATGAGGCAGAAGACCGAATCAACTATCACCTCTTAGAAATCAAGAGCAAATCATCTAATTGTTTTAGAAGAATGCTAACTGAAACTTACTTCAAATGACGGTTTCCAATTATTTCTCAATGTATTGTCAAATTCCGCACTTTAGGTAGATAGCTCAGACTGAATTGTTATTTGAAATTGCAGTTGTGTTTGCGCGCACATCATTTTTTTTTTCCAATAATTTCAAATTTTTCAAGTCAAGAAACCGTAAACGCCCTTCTTTTAGTCATTTTGGGAGTCAAATAATCCATTTGCATCAAAAGGTCCTTTAAAATTAAACTTTGGAAAAATAAAAATAATGTTGCCATTTTGTGGACGACCTCTAGCCACTACACACTAATGGCTGATAATGTAGGATCACTCAGCCAATGAGATTGCAGCATTTGCATTAGTGTACTAGTAGAATTCTACTCAAACGGTAATACATGTACAGTACCGGTCAAATGTAAGTTGACAGTCACTCGAAACTCGAACGACTCGACTCGATCCTTCGAGTATCGAGTCTCGAGTCGAGTCCTTCGAGTTTCGAGTCGAGTTGTTCGAGTTTCGAGTCGAGTCCTTCGAGTTTCGAGTCGAAGTGACAAAGAATTTATCGCTCGATTAATTTTTCCTGTACGTGTCAATGTTGCTGGTTTACTTCTGGAGACAGAAATTTTCGAGTCGCGACTCCAGAGGCAATCAAATTCACGCTTTCGCAATAGACTATGGTAAATTTATGCTAGAACTCAATATATACTTAGAAAATGTTTGCTATTTCCTAATTATTCCACAGTAAACATGTTGGCACAAATTAAAGTAGTGTACCAATGTGTTGGCCACGTTCCGTCTTTTCGTGTCTTTACATTGAAACGCAAAAAGTGGTGTGCACTGTAAAAGTTATTGATAACCCTTCTTTATTTCTCTATTCATACCATTCATACTGTATGTTCGGACGTGGCTCGGTACAAAATACCTGTACATGTAAGTGTCTAAAAGTGTAAACAGGTTGTTGACGAGGCACGACGTACAGAAAAAGCCTGCTTTTCTCTTGGCTCTTCTTCTTCTCCTAGTAAGGATTGAGTCTCTGTTCCAATGGCTAATACAATGTCAAACACGTTTCTGTAAAGTATTACCTTCGTCATATTGATACAAGTTGATGCAGCTGTGTTGGGAGAATGTGTTAGGATTAAAATTACATGTAGGTACACATACTTTTATAATAATTATACAAGTACATGTATATAAGGTAATTTTCAAATGTTGTTGCAGATCCGTTGGGTGCATTGTGGCCTGTTATTGGCATTCTTATTGAGGCCATTGTCCTTTTCCTGATCCTCTTCATTGTAGAGAAAAGGAAGAAGAATAAGGAAAAAGGTGTGAACTGTCATTAGGAATGTCTTTGTCTAAGTTCTCCTTACTCAAGTTGTTCTCTGCAAGTACTGGTAACCAGCCAAAATTGCTGCCTATTAGTTCTGAGCATGACGGCTAGTCTTGAGAAACATGTCAGATTTTACAAGATGGTATTTTGAGTTATTTTGGCCACATACATAATTACATGTATCTTAACAGTTTAAAGGGACACAGTCAGCTTTGGGACCGCGCTGACCTGGACACTAGTTTTCTCATTTTGAAAAAAGTTCATCTCAAGCTGAAATCAAAGTACATCTAGAAATCCGCTTCAATCTTCACAGTGTTTTGCTTGATTTTCAATCGTTTACTGAATAGCCTGTTTTTGAGTGTGCTTTTGCTTATTCTATGATACTATTTTTATCATATTTGGTTAAAAACAGTATGGATCGCGTCTCTGTGATATGCAAATTAGCTATGACATGGCATCTAATGCGCATGTGCTTCAGCTGACTGTGTCCCTTTAATAAGATAGAAAAGCACCAAAGAGATAATGATAAACCATAAAGGAACAAGGATGGCTAAGGATGGAGAAGATTAACACGGATTACAAACGACGAATTTGAAAAATTGAGGCTAAACTTTTCAATATGCGCAAACCGTGACTGAGCTCCTTTAAAAACGAAACACCAATTACGACGATAATCATGCGAATTAGTGAACTCACGGCTCATTAATGGTCAGTGGTTTGTTTTGTTAGTACATGTATGCTGGCTGACTAACTAGTCAGATTATAACAATTATGAAAGCACTGACAATCCTGACTGTCTCAGAGGACAGAAAGAATTTCTAGCTGCTCTGTGTACAGAAAATTTAGCATTTTTGTATTATTTGTTGTCAAAAAGGAAGTTTATACATGTACTAATATAAGGGCAGTGCAAACTGCAGCTTGTAAAGGCTCTTGTACTGTCCTGTTCTGCGTGTAAACAGGCGTTTTGAAAGTAGGGCGGGGACGGAGTTTTACAGAACTCAAACTGCAGTCTTAAGCGACAGTTTAGCTGTGGGCAAAATCTTGGATAAAGCACAAATACTTTTGAGGATACCAGTATATACTGGGCAGGATGGGAGTTCAGTTTATTCGAGTGGAATGAACCTTTCGTTCAAAATGAATCTGGTATCAGTTGTAGACGTTTCGCTGAGTTGTTTCAGTGTAGTACATGTACGTGGAGTACATACTTCGTATCCTTGACACTAATTTGATTTGATTTATTTTTATTTTCATGTTGCTTCTTTGTTCATTGCTGGTGCATATTTACAGCTGACAAGTAAGCATAATTTACATCTGTGTATTTCATTTTATATGTAGTGAATTGATAAACCTGGCAGTTTTACTTCTTTAACATTGAGCAGTTTACAATTTATTATTCGATTACAATGTACATGTACATGTAGCCTTGACTGGTTTGTAGAGGTCTCTTGACCTGAAGATATTTCTTTAATTTTGTTTTGACAGTTACGAGAGATCGAAAGGTATAGGGAGTTAGTATAGGGTTGGCGCAAAAAAAGGAAAGTAAAGGTCTACTTTAAGAGATTTTAGTCAACAGTTACTACTTGGGCATTAGACTGCACTACACGCGAATTGCTGACCCTAGTTTCTCCCTCCCTTGCGATGTTTCTTCACAAAAATTCACGTACAGATGTGCGACTTTAATTTAATGTGAAAGGTCTTGAGGTGGAAAATAATTGCTTCTATCTTGTTTTGCTTAGGGAAGATGGCCGCATGGAGTTCAGTTACAGCTCCACGGATGACGGAGACAGAGGCCAAGTACGCTTGCGCAAAGCGGGTGAAACTGCAGTCGCTTAGAACGTCCTGCTCACGTCACGTGTACAGCTCATGTCAATCCCGTGTTATCGACAGTGTACTACTCCTCTTAGCCACGAAGAAGTTACTATTAATATTGTGATTTTTGCGAAGAAAGTTCACTAAAACAGATACATGTATTCAGTGCTCTAAACACACTAGCTCACGTTTATAAGACGATTCTATTGAACCCAACCAATGAAAAACTCAACACAATTGATCGAAAAATAGTGCTAGGAAAAGAAAAACACAAAGGTGATTTGAAATCGTTTAATGTTTCGGACGGACAGAGTCAGAAATGCCAAAATAAATGACTGGATTTCTGCCGGTCAAGGGTAAGCTTAAAAATCCCACGCGATTGTTATAAAGCGGTCACAGAGAGGTTTAACTTTGAACATTTCATTTCCGTAGGCAAGAAAAACTTCATTTTCTAAGCGATAAATATATTTTCTCGGTTATTTGACCTTTTTTATTTGTCATTTTGCTATCAAACAAAAAACGAAATGCTGTATAATTTTATTGCTGAGACAGCAGGCCTATGGGACCTTCTACCGTCCAAAATTTAGCATTATCCTAGCTAGCGGTGAAATAACTCAAGCACTGATCAGCGTGAGAGCACTGATAGAAGATTCTCACATTACCTTCTTTTCAAAAATCATGACTGCGAAAAATTCTAATGCTCGTTTAGTTTTTGTCAAGAAACTTTTTTTAAGGCAACTTTTTTTCTAAGAGAACAAGGAAATAATGTTAGAAGTAATTTGCGAATTTTGTATTTACTTCAGGGACGTTGATTGTATATATTAATTTATCCATCGCTTCATACGAGTGACTTTGATATTTCGGTACATACAAGAACAGGTCACCAACATCAAATTAGAGTTCGTGACGACCGTTTTGAGTTTTTTTGCTCGGTAAGCTGAACTAATAAACCTTCGGAAAGCGTTCGTAATCTCTCGGCCTGCAATCGGAAGCTCCGAGACTTTCCCAAATTTCCGAGGTTTATTGGCCATACAGTACCTCTCGTTTTATTCCTCTCGGCTCAAGACCTCGTTCTTGTTGACGGCGTGTTATACACTTACCGTGTAAATGGCAAACTTGTATCTCTAATTTGGCGTGGGGGCTCGCCTGTATATACAAGGAAAGTCAAACGAGGGTAATTCAGATCCCTATACTATGGGAAATGAAGAGGGGCATATTTTATCCCAAGCTTGTATCAGTTATATCGCGTGAATGATGTCAAATATGCAATGGCTTTCAAGCCTTGTAATTGGCTGGTCCCACGCGACGTAAATTAAGCACAGATGTCGAGAAAAATTGACAATCAATAATGCTGTTATCAACTTATGTTTTCAGGAACGCAGTGAATAATTATATTTAAATCTTAGTTGTGCTTATCAATGCTTCGTTTGATACGATATATAGTATAGTCCATCTATTTCATGATTGCACGGTTGTAAATGCCATGGAGGGAGAGCTAATAGCAACAGTAAATGTCAAGAAAAACCACCACAGAATTGCTTCTTTTTTTATGGGAACAAAAGAAAGTGTTTACGTAAGAAAAGAGTTGAAATCCCACAGGATTGGTTTGGTACACCAACATGGCCGCCCTTTCACTGTTTCAGTACACGAGCATGGCTGCCGTGACGTCATACGAAAACACTCTTCATACAACTTTAAGCTCCGTTGCTAACTTCAAAAGATTACTCGTTTCTTTATTTCTTTTTTTGATGTGTGTTGTGAGATCCAGGATTTTTCTTAGCAGTTAGCAGGGGGTGCACCACTAAGGAATGGCGCAACTGACTGGCGAGGTGAACAAATTTTAAAAGCGAATGCGAAGAAGGCTTCATCTCAGGGAGGGGGTGTGCACCCCGTGCACCCTCCCCCTTGATCCGTCCCTGACTTTAGCATTATATATTGACCTTGTAGCTGATTTACAATGCATGGATGCTGTAGGAACCCGGCGGGCCCTGAAGCGGAATGGGTTATCTATGCCAATGATTATTTAAGATTAATAGTTTGAACCCAGGAGTATTAGCAGTTCGTATAGTGTGATCGGGCGAGTGACTGACGTTTTTATACAACCTGAGCGTGAGTCATCTTTTGAGCCAAGTGGAATGTGTTCGTCAGTCGATGGTGTTAAAAGTATCATTTCTGAGCATTTGATCTCTATATTCCGGTCAACATGTGTGAGATCTTTTTCCACGATAAGTAATAGTTTTCCAAGATTAGCTAATTGAAGTAACGAATATCCGTTCGCGTTTTTTGAAGTAGTATTCAATATCCATTATCTCTTGTCATTACTCCGCTATCAGACGCCGAGTAAAATGCTGGTTTTCTTGGTCTTTTTAGGCAGAAAAACGTCAACGTTGTACAGGTTTTTGTAAGTCAACGTTTCATTTTCGGTTGGTTTTTATCTTGGCGCCTTTTCGACCATTAGAATCCCCACTTTGTGGGTTTAATAACAGTTTTTATATGTTTGCCTGGAAAGAGCGACATCAAGTTAAGGTGACTCAACAGTTTCCAACACTCTCCAAGATTTTCACTGGTCATTATAACCCCTATCACGTTGTTATCATATTCGTGACACAATCAGTTACAATAGCAATAGAATGACCTGCTAAAATCACGCTTAATTTTAGCTTTTAAGTACTTATATTTCAAAAACGGCACGGTCGAATCCAATTTTTATCATGGAATCTTGATAACCAGGATAAGATGCAACTTTTGACAAAGTTTAAAACAATTCTGTGCATGGAGTTCATAGCCACCATAATTAAATTTACGGTGGCCGGATTTCACCTTGCCTTTTTGAAATATGAGTACTTGAAGCTGAAAATTAAGGGTGTTTTATCAGGTCATTCTGTTGCTATGGTAGCCTATTGTGTCACGAAAATGGTAACGTTAACAATGTGATAAAGAGTGGTTATAATGACCCATCACAATCTAATACTTGGAAAGTGCTGCAAACCGTTTTGAGTAACCTTAATTCAGAAACATGTACTTCTGGTTAATAAATAGCGTTATTATATGGCTGAGCCTCACAAGGACTGGAGACCACCGAATTCACGAATTTGATTGGCTGAAATCGGTATTGAAAGCGGTCTAGATTTTCCCATCTAGACCGGCATCTATACCGGTAATGTTATGCGGTGAAAACGTGGCAAACTAGAACACAAAAATATTGACCATTTTCTTCTAACAATGTTTATTTATCAAGTAAGTAAAGAGGACGAGCAAACTTTTGCAGAATTAAGTTTAGCTCATCGCCGTTCGGAAGATAAATGTCAGTTACCTACAAACCAGTTACATAAAACGAATTAAATTGTTCTTGTTTGCCATAAAATAAACATCTTATTAACTGAGCTTAATCGGTCTGTATGGGAGAATCTGGACCTCGATCGTGTGTACAGACCTCGGTCAAGATTCTCCCATACAGACCGACTAAGCTCGGTTAATAGGAGCTAACTCGTCAATGCTCCTATGCGAACGTACCCCAGTCTTAAGACCGCATTTTTGTGTTTCTCGCTCTGAAGCAATTGAAGCTTTATTAAAAGACAGTTTTAAACCAAATGAATGGGCTAATTAAGGGCAAATTAACTGGAATGAGTTTGGCGGAAAGAGCCGAGCAAATAGTTTTTAGGAAGCTGTCTGTCTTTGGTTGACAATATAGAATTTACACAAACACGGGTGTGTTTCCACAAAGGGTCTCTTGACGTTTACTATATATCTGTATTTCCTGACGAAGAAAACATATGTCAGATTATTCTTCAGTGTTGTGTTTGTCATCGATCGAAGAGACGCAAACTTCAGTACAATCATCTACGATGCACACGAAACTGTGAGACCGCAAATCTGGGTTAAGTAAGTTTTTTTTTCTATTACGCAGAACCATGATATTTTATACAAAAGTTTACACGGCTTCATAATAAACACATGTTAATGAAATCTTATTGGTTAGCAAACCTATATCTAAGATTTCTACAATCTCCATTGCATGATGGCTCGGACAAATAATCATGTCGCTGAAAGGAAAATAATTAAGTTATCATTTTTTTATATTGGTTAGTATTGCCGGTATTAAATATTATGCCTTGAGGGAAAACATCGACGTTTTTAGCGGAATCGGTAAGACAAAGTACATAACGATAATTTTACAAAAATTAAGGCCAAAAAGTCCATAAATCATAAGGATGATGTCCAATCGTTCTTGAGATTTAAAATCGTTTTAAAACTTTAATTTTATGCGCTTTGTGTTCCAGTTAAAGGGATATGAAACAAGAAATTTGATTGGCGGCTTTGGTATTCGATTCATTTTACCATAACAATGTCTGCTTTTTAGCTCTACTATTAAGGATTACTTCCGCGCATCTGAGCAAAACAATCGAAATAAGGAATCAATAACACTTTAAAAGGCTACAAATAATGTAAAACCTGCCTATCTCCGAGATACCTCCAAGCGGAGAACTGCTGCGTTTTATTTTGTTTAAACAGGACAACGTTTCGGTTTCTGAGCTGTGTTGCGTTTTCAAAACCCACTAAGCCCAACACAACTGGCTTTTCGAAAACCAAATTAAATATATTAAGTCAACCAAACCACACAAGTATTTTTTAGATCATTTGCAAATTCGCAGCAGGAGAGATCTTAAATGCTGCGAGGATATCCTTTTGAAAAACATGCGGTCGATACATTGAAATGTTGTGGACTGTGCTGACTGGGTCACGCGCGCGACATTAAATTTGTGCCATTAACATCGCCGGACTATTATTCCTCGTGCTCGTTCTGTGATGTCACAATCACTCGCACGTCATGTAAAATTCAGAAGGCCATCTCCACATTTACTGAGATTGGAAATCAAGCGCGTATGGGGACGCAAAAGGAACTCGAACAAGGAGGCCTGTGAGCCGGCGCGAGGAAATAGGGAGGATTTTAATTCCATTTAGGAAGATGAAGACTTCGAGTGAATGGTCAACACACAAGTATCGCGAATCCTCAGTTTCAGTTTGCTTTTGTTATAAGAATCCACAAAATCTCAAGAAATGAGCGAAGTTCGCAGCGACGATGCAGAGGGCACGCTGCGAAGTGCGTCTTGTAAATCGATCGACAAATTGCAAACTGATTCGGAGTGTAAGGAAACAAGGGACGCAAAACATGATGAAATATCTTCCGCGCCCGAAAATCAATCAGAAGATACTTCAGCTAATGGAAAAAGAGCTAGCGGATCCTCTTATGAAACGGAAAATTCAATTTTGTCATCGCATTTGAGTCTGCAAGCACTCCAGGCACTGAACGACGCAAGCGCGCAAGACGACGATGAAGTGCGAGGAACGGAGGAAATAGGCCTTTGCGAACAAGGGTCGTCAAACGAAATTTCAGTGGAAGGAAATCCTGTGGCTTTTCGTGAATTCGACTCAACTTGCAGTAGTCCTCTTCTAAATGGCCGCGTTGTGAATAACGAAGATGCGCATATCACAACAGAAAATCTACAGGAAACTATTTCGGAAAGAAACAACCACCTAACGAATAGAGCATCTAGGATTTTCTCGTTCCTCGGTAGGAAACTCCGCACATCATCGTCAAACGCAAAAAGGACTAATGGCGATGTTATTGTTACAATTGACGCCGAGGAACTGACTGTCCTTGATCCCCAAGCGAAGCCAAAACCGTCTTTTAATGACCGTGTGAAAGTCTGGTTTCAGCCCATGGATAACAAAATGAACATGAAGGTTTTTGGAAGCAGGAAAGCTATGGCAGATGAACTCGTACGATTCAGAAAAGCTGGATGGATTATACATCCGACAAGCGCCTTCAGGTTGGAAAACCAGTTATTGCTTCCTATATACACTCTTCACTGTTGTTGTATTTATACTGTTCGTTGTTGTTGGTTTTTCCCCTTGGGTTTATTTTTCATTTGTGTGTCCATACCTTTTCTATTTACCTAAATTGTTTGGCGATCTTCCTTTATTATAACACCTCTTTTTCCTTTATTAATCAAGACACAGGAAGTTCTTTTCCAGATCTGTCTTAGAGTTAACCCTCGTACAGTGAACTATGTAAAGCAAAATTCACACGCGTTTTTACAGGGTGAAATAATGTTGTGTTTTAACTCTGGTATTTTCCAAACTGGGCCGCAAAAACCTCAACACAGATTGTGGACAAGTTAAATTTCGTTAAGGCAAATTCAGTTGATTGTGATTCGCTCTGGTTTTGATTGCATCGGATGGCTGATTTCCGTACTTTTGTCTTTTAGGAAGTTTAAATTTTAATGAACTTCTTTTGGCATATGTGTCTCGCGGCCTGATTACGGTTTTTTGCGTATGCAAATTGCAAATAATCACTCACAAAACTTGTGAAAAAACTGCTTTTGTGGTGCGGTTTTCTTTGCACTTAGCTATTCCGTCTACACCAATGTTTTTTCATGTATTCTTTGTGCGTTTGCTTTTCCTTACGTTAATAGTTTGATTTTGCCGCGTTAAATCGCTAACATCAGTAGTAACTGAAAAGATATCATGATTTTTGTGGCTCGGTTTTGGGAGAAAACATTGATGAATTGTGCGAATTATACTTTTGGCCAGGCAGAGGTTTTCATGATGTAGTGATTTGTCATCATTAAAAATTTTATGGCACATCGTCGACAGAAGCTGTGAAAAGGGGTTGTTTAATTAACTGAAAAACTGCTTGAAAAGGTCACAGGGAAATTAACTTCTCAGGGATGTAATCAAGTTGCGGATTGTCTGTTGGACGCGTAAAAACACCTTCACTACGCTTAAAAAAATCGCCTTACGAAACAACAGTCAGACTATTGTGTCTACCCGACTCCAGCCGCAGGTGTTTGATTATTATTTTTTAAAACTACTTGAAAACTTCACTGATTAGAGGGTCAGTTGTTCTCATTTCAAAATCCGATTTACACTAAAGTTAAATTAAAGGTTAACCCAGATTACACTGATTTATATTGGTCTTGTTTAGAAGCAAGCATTACTACTGACCTAAGCTTCGTTACGAGACTGGTTGAAGTGAAAAAAAGGGAAATAAATGTTATCAATACCAAACTGGCCGACAGGGAGTGGGTACAAGTGCCTTTAAGCTGAGCCCGCGGTATTCGCTGGCAAAGACGTTGCTAAGCAATACTAACATCTAAATAACGCGTGAAAAGCAAGTAAAACTAAAATCTTAATCTGATGAGATTAAAAATGGAAGCTCCTCAAAGATAGAGAAGATAATTTTCTTTTCTCATAATTACTTTACGATGTACACACTGTGGGCGTGACTTTTAAGGAAAAAGAGTCTAATGTGCTAATGTGGAAAAACCACACACAATAAAAACATAATAAACTACACAAATGACAAAAGACAAAAGAAATTACATTTTTGTTCCGGTAGTAATCACAACCTTTTAAGATATTTCAGTTCTGCAGCATGTTGTACGATCAAAAAGTTAAAATATCAAGGGTCCGTTAGCAGTGTTGATCATAATAAAATTGAATAATTTAAGCGTTCTCTGGTAAAAATTATTAAAAATATGAGCTTTCGACAGCCAGTCTACTGTCTTCGACGGATGATAAAAGACGGTAGACTGGCTGTCGAGAGCTCATATTTTTAATAATTTTTACCAGAGGACGCTTTATTCAATTTTATCATGATCAAAGTTGACTTGCAGCCTAATGATTTATTTTTGCTAGCTTGAGTGACTGTTTCTGTTTTGTGTTTCAGGCTCTATTGGGATCTTATGATACTTTCCTTATTGATCGTCAATATGTTTGTTCTACCAGTCGCCATTGCATTTTTTAATGACGACATGAGTCCTTCGTGGATCGCCTTTAACAGCATATCTGACGGAGCGTTTCTGTTGGACATTGTTTTGAACTTTAGGACTGGAGTGCTTGTTCATGGCACTCCCAACAAGTTTATCCTTGATCCTAAGAAGATAGCTATACGGTAAGTGCAGTTTAATTAGTACACCCTGCCTTTAATTAATCTGCTACCCGTTTAAATTCAACATTCTCAAACTCATTAATAATTCATCAAGTTAAAACAATGGAAATCACAACCGCGAAGGAGGTTTGGATAGATTTTGACGATTTTACTTCTCCGTTTACTCTTTCAGTTAGTTTTTGTTTCGATTGAGTAGATATATCAAACCCTCGAGACAGCGTTTTATCGGCTATCCAAACACTTCGAATTTCGTCAAAAATACTCCGCTGCACGTCCTATTTTGAACTCTCTTTTCGGTGTTTGGATATCCCGATGAAGCAGTGTTTCTCGTGTTTGATAATTCATCTTACCTACCCAAAAATGATAGTAATAGTTTTGTTGTGCATACATATTAAGCAGCAAAGCGTTTGCGCTGGTTTTCCAAAAGCTCTCCACCAATCAACGGTCATAGAGCTATCTACTCCGCATACCCGCTGCGCCTCCCGAAACAACGTTCAATTTTGATTGGTCCAGCTTATATAAAAATGTTTTACACAAGATTTCTTACGAATAAGCAACGAATTGGCAGCGAAAGAATAACAGCACGTTAATTTCTTTTCATTTGTAAACATTTTATTCATTTTTAAACCAGCTTTTGACGTCTAAACTTGGCAGGTAATAATCAAAACCTCGATGTTCGCGCGTACATTTATTCTGTTTATCGGCTTTTACCTGCTTCTTGACATCTTCGCAAAGTAACTTGGTTTTTATATCAAAAATTAATGAAAAGCGTCAACGTGCTCAAATTACGTCAATATCTTGAGCTGCGGTTTTGAATAACTGTATGATGTGTAAAATTTTATCCACCTTGGATTGAGATGAAGATTTCAGGTGTGGTTTGTCTTCCATTTCCCACTATTTTACGTAAAATGTTCAGCTTTCTGGAACTTGAAAATATTATTTTTGTCCGTGATTATTTTCTGATGTCAAGGTGGGTGATTTCTGTCGTTAGCAATTCAAAAACTAATCCAGATCAAGCCGTTCACCTGCGTGAATGTTCAACGTTGGCGCGACCGCAAACGGTCGGAAAGTAGGGTTTGGTTATGGATAAAAATTCAGGTAATTGGCATTGTTTTTTTGTTTCTTCCTCAAAGAGTTTGTAGTCCTATGAGGAGAGAGGACTCCTCGATAAAATTCGAAAATTTCGAAAAGAACTCCTTAAAAGGTACTAGAATCTCATTTTGTGAGTGTGCTTTAAATTCATTTTCACTCCTTAATTAAGGACGTTAAGCCTCAGCCAAAAAGAGCGTATGTTGCTTTTTGATCATTTTCAGCCAATGTTTGAGAGATTTCTTTCGATAATTTGAATTGACACAAACGTATCCTGAAAGATAATTACCTATTCCCTTTAAACAATAACATGCACTTCCATTGGAATACACTTCCACATAGCTCCAGTGGACATGACTAGTGTTTTTCCTTCTCAGGTATGCAAGGACGTGGTTTTTGATTGATCTTGTGTCCTCGTTTCCGTTTGATTACATGGTGTCGTCGGCGACCAGCTCGGGATCCGGCCGACTCTTAGGCGCATCCAGGGCGTTACGAATTCTGCGCATGGCTAAACTACTTAGTCTACTGCGCCTGCTCAGAATATCGCGTCTTGTACGTTATGTTCATCAGTATGAAGAGGTAGGTAATCCAGTGCTTAGGAGTGCAGAGTCCTGGAAATAGGGGAGAGGGTGAAAGAGGCCTTGTTCTGAGCTAGTGGCTTCATTAAGAGTTAAGCGAGTATAACACTACAGTTTTCCATAGCAACATTACGAGGCTTACAGTATATTGCTACTCACTATGGGATAATAGTCTGCAGGTTATCCAGCAGCATGGTTATTAGTTTACACAAGCGACTTGCTTTAACTCGGGGATGTCAAACCTATCGCACTAATTGTATAACGCCGACTGAATTCTTCCTCAGGCTATGATTTGTCTTCTGTCTGTCTGTTTGTCTGTCTGTCTGTCTGTCTGATTGTCTGTTTGATTATCTCTCCGGTTCATGCATCCGTCGTCTGGGAACCGAGACTTCAAGCATTAGTTTCCTCTTATATCAGTATAGTGTTAACTAATGAATTTAAATCTATACATTTTGCATCAAAATCAATTAGATATGTCCAGGATTGAACGCTAATGAGATTCAAATTCCTTATGATAAGCATGACAAAGTATCCTCATCTGCAAAAAGTCACCAAAACAGAGACAATTCTGTCAGATATGAAGTAATATGAAAATGTCAAATAACCCTGCCAAATATGAAGTACTAATTAAACAACACTTGGACATAATCCAGCTGGATTTCTTTGTGGTAGTGTGAGATGTCAAAACAGTATCATACGCTTGAGATACTAACAGCTACACCGAGCCATTTTGGCTTAGACTGTATACTGCTCATTACCAATTCTCTTTCCTTTACATTTCAGATTCTGAATGTGACTCGCTCAGTAATCCGGTTTGTAAACCTGATAAGCCTGATGATGCTAGTAGCGCACTGGAATGGCTGCATGCAATACCTCGTCCCAGTCCTCGACGACTTCCCGGACGACTCATGGGTTATGATTCACGGCTTACGGGTTAGCTTAACACAGCATCTTATAGCTATCGCTTATATAATTCAGGACAAGTCTTCTCATTGCTTTCTTTACGATAACACAATGTTATTTCGCTCAGTGTAAAGTAAAACCAGCAAAACAATACCACACGACCCCAGAAGCTTGTGGTTTAAAATACTATTGTGTATCTATCTATCTATCTATCTATCTATTGATAGACGTTTTTAGTTTACTTCAGGGACAATAAGAATGTAATCGTGCCTGTCTTTAACCGTTAAAGCTCTCTTGTTTTCACTGTAAGTTTCTGGAGAGAGTGGGAAAACTGTAGCATGCGAACGCAGACGTATTTCCGACTGTCGCTTGTCTCCGTTCGCTGGCTAGGAAAACCGGGAAAGCGGAGGAGAAAGGGAGATTCTATAACCGTTTTACGGGAATGTAGAATATCGACTTTATTTCGTCTGCTGTTATTTTGGTGGCATGAACATCAAATGAAAATCCGTCTGCCTTCTCAGGGCTGGGTCATAGCTTCTGTGTTCATGGAACTAACTCAAAGTGTAAACAGAGTTTCTCTCTGGGCTGAATTCTTGTAACTTATATAGTTATCTGTCTTACACAGGACAAAGCATGGACCGAGCAATATCTATGGGCGCTTTTCAAGGCCTTGTCGCACATGTTATGTATTGGCTATGGTCGTCATCCGCCACAAAACATCCCTGAGACTTGTGTGACCATATCTAGCATGATGACTGGTGCGACGTTTTACGCGTTGTTCATTGCTTATTCCATCAATGTCATTCAGACCATGGACTCGCCTGGTCGCAATTATAGGGAAAAGGTGAGATCAGTCTGTTCTCAAGTTGCGACAGTCTTAATGTATTCCCGAAATGTGCCGATCCCTTTTCAGGTTTTTGGTTTGATTTGCAATTTACTGCGGCACCTATACAACCAAACCTTCCACTCCATTTCTCCAGCACGAGGCTCTACCAGTTCATAAGACCCTATGAGTTTATTATGGGACACTCCCACCACGCCATCGGACGTGGGTTGCCCGCTTATGTTTCATGCTATATAAATAGAGGCAGACAGCGGTCGAGCATTTTCAGGTCTCTGCATGCATTGCGTGCCTATGATGCTAAACTGCAATTGTTTGAGAGAGCAAGAAGCAAAACGATTTGCCCTATAAAAGCGCAGTAATTTATTGAGCCCATACTTCTAGACAAACAAAAGCCTCTAGCCTCCTAATCTAACGGTCATTCTTATTTATCAATGGAGGTAGAAAGTGACCTCTGTGTGCATTGCGTGCCTAAATGCAGCCCAATTTACCCTATATGAGCGCAGTAATTTATTGAGCCCATACTTGGAGACAAACAAAAGCCTCTGGCTTCCTAATCTAACTGTCATTCTTATTTATAAATGGAGGCAGAAAGTGGTCTCTGCATGCATTGCGTGCCTAGATGCAGAACAATTTACCCCACAAGAGCGCAGTTACTTATTTGGTCCATACGTAGAGACTAATAGCCTGCGAACAGGCTTCCGGTGAGCCCGAACGAAGTCCCCGCCCCAATTGCTTTGTTCTCCGAATTCTTCCGTTTTGCGCTCGCCGAAATTTTTTCCGTCCTCGCCGGGAGCCTGTTCGCAGGCTAGAGACTAACAGAAGCCCGTGGCCTGCTTTGTCTAACAGTCATTCTTATTCTTATAAGCATTAATTCTTTTTGTCGTAATTCTGCTGGAGTTCATTTTCCCCGCTACCAGGTGTTACAGAGTTGGTGCTTTTATGCATTACTCTTTTGATCGTATCTGAAAATGTATCTGAAGACTCATGTTTCTTTTTTTCAAAAAAATGCTATTAAGCCGTCACTATGATGGTTTAAAACTATCTACATCAAGGTTCCGTTCTTAGAAATTAAATTGCCTCTCATGAATTACCATTTAAATGTAACCAAACTGAGACCAATGGAAATACTAAAAATCGAAAGCTATAAAGTTAATTAACTCGATAAGGATTCAATATTCCCAAACACCTACCAATAACTCTGTAGGTGGTATTGATTAAAGTACACCGTTTCCTGTTTAAATCATTTACATGCAAATCCTTACTAAACTCTTGAAGTTTTTGAAATCATTTGAACACCTTTTAATTAAAGAGATAATGTTATTGCTCTTTACCTTCGTTCATTGATGTGAAATGTAGACCACTGGATCTATTGGTAATTATGTCGCTCCTTAGAAGTTTTATGTCCATTTTTATTATTTTATTGTTAGATACAACAAATCGAGGAGTATATGTCCCATCGAAAACTGCCTGTTAATCTCAGAGACAAAATTACCAAATATTACGAGCACCGATTTCAAGGAAAACTGTTCGACGAGGAGAAAATTCTGGGTGAAGTGTCTCGACCATTGCGAAAGGTAAGGCATTGAAAGCAATTCCAATTAACACGCTTAAGTTTGAGAAATGCAAAGTTGTTTCAATGAACTAGACTACGAGTAGTAGACTAAAATGGCCGCGCGAAATCCTTGGGGCGAGGAGCGCGCCCTTTTCGCCCCCAGGATTTCGCGTGGCCATTTTTTCCTTGTGGTTCTCTTTCGTGTCACGCACGACGGTCTAAGCGAAAGAGGGACTACTGGTAGTCTGCAATGAACTGGTCGATTATTCTGCCGGAATTTTACTTTGATTACAAGGCATTTTATGTCTTTAGCAGCAAAGAAATAGATTACTCTGCGGCTTTCCCTTCTCTTTAGCTTATTAATTAGAAACAAAGCCCAAAAAACCCGAGCCAATTCATAAAAGAGTAGTTGAAGAAACTATTTCGCAGCTGTTGCTGTTCTGTTCTGTTCTTGTTGTGACAGTGGTGACCGTAGCGGTGATAGGTGATGGTAGTTAAGATATAGTGGTTGTTGTAGTTGTGTATTTAACCTGCTGCTGTAGTTGTTGTGGTGCGAATGACTGCTGCAGATGTTGTAATCCTTCTTCTTCTTCTTCTTCTTCTTCTTCTTCTTGTTTTTGTTGTTTCTGGTGATGGTAATGCTGTGGTTAGGATTGTTGTTCAGTGTTAGTGCGAGTTTCAACTGAGTGTCGAAAAACCAAAGTTATCACTCTAGCCAATCACAGAGGACACAGACGATCCAGTGAGCCAATCAACACTCAAAGCAAATACCTGTAGACGACGCAAAGCGCGGAAAAACATGTGCGTGTGAGTCACGACCGGCGTTGGCTTTTCTTCTGATTGGTTAAGGAAGCGTGCAAGTTTAAAACCAATCCGTTAGCGTAGTGACGCGAAACCAAAACAAATGCGAATAACTTTCGATAGACATAATAGTTATTTTTTAATATTAATTTTGTTTTTGAGAGAAGAATCGAAACCTCGAGCTCTGGGAGAAATCAGAAGGCGAGACAGCAGTAGTCACAGCGGTAGCTCTTTCTATGCATTTTCAGAAACCGTTATTGAACTTGAATCGCACAATCAGACCCAAACCAGGATTTTCTGGTTCCAACTTTCGATTTCGATTTTGTCCAGAGTGTCGGACGTTCGGTCGCCGCTGACCCAAAACGCGCAGACTCTGGGTACGAGTTTTATCTGGATTCACTCGCACACGTTTCGCGATTGTTGGTGTCGCTACATGTGTTTGGTTCGAGCTGTGATTGGCCAACTGCATTGTCTGTGTAATTTTTGATTGTCCAGAGTAACTACTTTGGTTACGAGACTCGTTGAAAAGCGCTCTATTTAACAATTAGATTATGAACTCGAGATATCTATGAGGTGATAGTTGATGAGGCCGAAAGCCGGATCAACTATCACCTCATAGAAATCGAGAGAGAATAATCTAATTGTTTTAGTAGAATTCTTACTAAAAGTACTTCAAATAACGGTTTCCAATTATTTCTTGACGTATTATTAAACTTTGCACCTGAAAAAGGTCGCTCGGATTGATTCAATAATTTCAGCTTTTTTAAATGTCAAGAAACCGTAAATGTCCTTCATTTTGACTTCTCGGGAATTTAATTATCCATTTGCATCAAAATTTTCCTCCAAAAGTTCGAAAAACGAAAAAAATGGCTCAGCCAATCGGATTGCAGCATTTGCATTAGTATACTGGTAGAATTCTACTAATGATGTTTACAGTACAACACTTAAACTCGTTAACAATCCGACTAAAAGCCTCATTTCGCCTCCGTTTTTCTGGTCTAAACACAGCCGGGAAGTTGCATAGAACGAATAAATATTGCGAAAATTACTCGCCCTCCCGTTTTTCTTACTTTGTATACGTTTCTTTTAGAAAACAGAGACAAAATTCTTTGACGCAAATTAATCGCTCTTGTCCAATGTCTCTTCTTTGTTAGGCAATCGTCAATTATAATTGCCGAGAGCTTCTGCGTGCTGTGCCTTTCTTTTATGACGCTGATCCCGACTTTGTGTCGGCTATAATAACAAAATTAGAGTTCGAGGTCTACTTGGAAGGTGACGTCATCATTCGTGAGGGAGAACTGGGAACGGAGATGTACTTCCTTAAATCGGGCATCGTGAGCGTGAGTTGTGATGGAGTAACCACTGACGATTTGACTGATGGCTCATACTTTGGAGGTAACTAGAAATGTTCATTTGGAAGGCAAATAGCTAGGAATATTTCATTCATTGTTAACCTCGTTCCCAGGCTGACAAGGGAGGCAGAGGAGAGAGAGCCTGAGAACGAAGTTGTGTTAAGAGAAACTGTGTCACGAACGAGACATCATGAGACATACTTACGATAATTCTTTCTCTAAGTGCCGAGTTCAACTCCTCGACCGTGTTGTGTAAATAGCCAATTGGTCAGCCTCCCACTAGTTGGGATTCTTGATAGCTTATGCTTTATTTGAAATATTTGTTTATTTATTTACAGTATCCTCAATTAGCACAACAGTGCTAAATACAATTGACACTTAAATTAAAATTATTTTTATTTTTTTTCCTTAGGTGGTGTATAACCTTTATTTAATTCTAGCTTTGTCCATATCTCGAAGTAGAGAATTAACCATCTTCATTTTCTCCTTTTCTCCATCTCTAATGGGCACCCCTGTAACTACCATTGTTAACTACCATATTGCCTGCTTTTATTCCAGAAATCTGTTTATTAACCAACGCTAGACGCACCGCAAGCATTACAGCGAAAACTTTGTGCGACATCTTCATTCTACACGCGGAAGACTTTAGAGAAGTGGTCGACGAATATCCGGAGATGCGTCAGGTCATGGAGTCAGTTGCAAGTCAGAGATTGAGCAGGATGGGCAAATCAGTAGACTTTTCGTCTTGTCCGTCCAAGGAGCTCCTGCTCGCAAGGCTACAGAGCTCCCGAGCCAGTAGTATTTGTGGCAGCTGCTCAAATTTGCTTCAACCGCGGGAATATAACCCAGAGATAGTAATTACTAGGGACTTTAAAACAGACTGTGACATGAGTGATAATGAAGTCACTTGAAAGGACTGTTTTAAAACGACTATTCAATTTTTGAAGGCTGTGTTTTTATTGGAAAAGAAAATGTGTTTTTCCGCAACTTTCTTTCGACGATTTGAGCGATGTAGAAATATTTTCAAGCTTGAGTATAGATTAAGTTTGATGTCAGTCAAACACGGGTTATGCAAATGACTGCAGTTGAATATAGGTGGTATGTCATTTTTTAGCCCAATTGAATTGTTAATGGCTAGGAAGGGATCTTTTGTGTTTAGTAGACAGTAATACCATTAACTGGTAAGGCAATTTAAGGTCCCTCCAACCCGAAGGAAGGAAAAACGTTTCTATTTTGTGCGCGGGAAAATTCGTTTTATGTAATGAATAAAAGTATTCCTTACATTTGTTTTGGAAGTAGTTTCAGTTTGATTGTATAGGTGTATTAAAGCATTCTAGCTGCAACTTAAGTCAAGTTAAGGCTTGCACGACACAAGGATCATCAGATAATTCACTACTGCATGAAAATCTTTTTCCATAGCCTGCTTTTTTACTGGTAGTAAGCGTCAGAGAACGGACCAAAGGACCAAAAGCAGGCCAGGGAAACACTGGGAACGAGATTAAATTTCGCGACGGTTAAAACTGGGATGAAACGCATGCGCAGCAGAAAAAAGTACTTACCGCTTTCTATTTTTCTCTTACCGTTTGCGGAAGTTCTAACTGAATGTTATCCAAAAGCTATTTTAATTTTTTTTATTAGCCTATGTACAGAAGCTTACAGAGTTACAGAAACGTCAAATTCTGTTTTCTACGGAATTGAATCACTGATGTAAACTTCACTGAGAGCGGGTACTGCGAAAACAAAAGGTTCGCCTCGTTACTGGGACAAAGAATTATGCAATTAAAGTGACGCCGATATAAGCAGGTGGAATTATTTTTCTCACTGCAAAATTAAATCAATATTATCGCGCATTATGTAAGAACGACCATTGGGAACAAATCAAAAGAAATTATTTCAGTTTGTTTTTTTCTGAGACCACGATTAGTGTTTTTATACATTGGGTTATAACTAAAATAATTTGCCACTTTGTCTTTCCTCTGAAAATTATTGATCAGCTTGAATTGTTATATTCGCAATGAATTATGCATTGTCAAGTTCCGACAATCATAAAAAGACTAAGTGATTAACCAGGGAGGACAGAGTCAATAAATTGGCGTTTATATACGGTGCAATTACACCATAGTCGCGGAGACACCTAGGTGCCGACCATTGTTCGCTGACAGTGCATCTGTAAGCGCAAGTCACTAAGCGGACGCCATACCAAATAGGCCAAGTATTCGGTTACTCGCATCTGCTCAATATTCAAATACAGGTTTTTTTTTTTCTGAACCGCAACTTTGAGAAATTACTAATCCAACTTATTCAATCGAGAGATGTGCTGAGAGAAAATAATGCCTTCTTGAGTCGTTATCACCCTTGAATTTTAACTTTTCATTTGACACCACGATGAAAACTAGTAATCCAAGCTGAAATGAGATGTCGGGTTAACAAAATGGTGAGGAACAATTTTGAAGGTAAGAAATATTGTTCCTTTTGTATTGAGTCATATAAACATGCCTTGTACGTTTCGTTTTAAGAGGAGATCATTGGATATTTAGCTCATGACTTATTTATAATAAAGAAAAGGTTCGTAGATTTAATGTATACTGATCTAGGTTTTAGCTTATTTCCGCGTTAGGCTTGTAATTGTTTTTGTTCCAATTAGGTTTTCATCTGAACTGTAAAAAAAGCGGAAGGATTAATTATTTGCGTTGTTTTGGTACAAATGCACTCTTATTAGCTAAAATAAAATAATAAAAAGTTTTTCGTTTGAAATGCTGGGGTTTTCTTTTTTGAGAAATGTAGTTAGAAATTATTAATCATTTCAGTGATACTCGCCTTGCGATGAGGCGAAAGTGATTAATTTTGGTTCAGGATATATCTAATCAATTATTAGAAAAAAACTGTTTAGTCTTCAGGAGTGTGTGGGATAAAAAAAACAACAAATTAAACGTTACTTAAAATCTAAAATGAAAGTCCATTTTTTAGGAGTTTAATATATACATCGATATACAACTTAAGAAAAGACTGGGTCAGTAGAGAAATATAGCTTTCTTTCAAGGAAACACACATTTGAATACTTAAACAACCACAGACCAAAGTAATTATACATGCACTGTGAATATTTTCTACAAAACCGAAGCTTTATTACATCAATCAAATTTTCTTCTAGTCCGTTAATCGAATTTTCATTTCGGCCGGACGTCAACATATTATCATTATGAAAAGGGCGAAAATTAATATCGGGAGATATAAATAAATCCGATTTTGCCGTGTTTGAGGAAGGTTTTTGGATCGAAATGTTGCTATTATTCAGAATCAGATTTATTGTTAATTGAAATACCTGTTCAATGTACTGTTTTACAGTCAAACTTTAAATTAGAGGTTTATTAGAGGTTTTCTGTTCATCTTTGAATTGGCAGGTTTACTATTCATCACAGCGCTTTGTATGTGTAAGATGATAGTCCAGAACGAACAAATCAAATTTAATGTCCAAATGTCTCTTTTGCTTGTTCTACAAAACAAGCCGACTGACATGTCGAAACCGTCTCCGTTTTATGACATGGCTTGAAAAACTGGATGTTAGAAACTGAGACAAGAAGGTCATTAGTTCCCCTCGTTTTATGCGATGGCGCAATTTGTTCTAAAAATAGAAAAATTGTCCCATATCATAGGAACAGCCCCAATACTAGAAATGGCGCGCTTACGGTCTCCGTCCCCGATTAAGGCTCCTGATTATGGTCTGTTATCAGAAACGGACCGTCTAATAAACCATTTGCTGATCTGAGTAGTCGGGCAGGAATTTTCAAAGTATATCAAGACCTCCTCGAGTCACAGAGTATTTATAATAGCTGGTGGTACACACGTACAATATAACAGTTTGTGTTCATTGCACCATTTCAGAACACTATAACACTGAAATAATTTAATACTAATTTTGGTTGAAAGCCATGGGTTATGTTTGGAGGATTTTATCAATGACTGCGGATAGTTTGTGTTTGTATTTATAGGCATGGCAAGAGAACTAATAATAAACATCTTAACATGACTCGAGGCCGATAAAACTTTCACTCCTAGATATTGCTTTCGAGTCTAGCTAGCTAATTACAACTGAAGGAAGACAGCAGATTTTATGTTCAGTTCATAGTTAGTTTATTTATTCCGTCTGAAGATTGTATTCTGTTTTTCAGTCTCTACAGGATCGGTTAGAAACTTATAAAAAGAAAACTCCACCCCCAAGAAAAGAAATGGCCTATGACACAGACGGAGGTGACGATGATCTGCCACTTAACATTATTGACTATGTTCAGTTGGCAATCTATCCACTCATTCTGCTGTTCGGTTCTATCGGCAATATCCTGGTCATACTCGTGATTCGAAACAAGAAGAAGCATCGAAAAATCAATGACTGTTTTATCTTAAATCTAGCGATTAGCGATCTCTGCATGCTCACAATAAGTATCTCCATGGATTTTTACCTCAAATTCAGGAAATTTCCTCTTGGTGACTTGCTTTGCAAAGGGGTCTGGCCCCTTATGACGATGTGTTTATTTGCAAGCGTGTTCACGCTGACCTGTATGGCGATAGAGCGCTGGCGCACCATCGTCAAACCGCTGTCTCTAAGGCTCCCGGTCTCCAAAGTCCTTTGTATCCTCGTGTTAACCTGGCTCGCGGGGTTGGCGTGTGTATCGCCACTGACATTCGTTGCTTATCACCGAGGGCGCGGCTGCGCCGAACGCTGGCCTAGCTTCGCCATGAGGCAAGCGTACACGATGGCGGTTGTTCTATTTCAATACGCCATTCCTCTTTTCATCATCACCATCGCTTATGCAAGAATTGGAATCTTCCTCAAGCGCCGCGCTAAATTTAAAATTTCCGACGCATGCACACGGATAGCAGTGATCAGGAGAAACGCGAACAATGCCAAAATTAACAAGAACTTGCGCACTATAGTCATCCTTTTTGCGATCTTCATGCTGCCCAAACAAGTGCTCTGGCTGTGGTTGGACTTTAGTAGCGGTGGTGATTTCCAGTACTTTGGCGATGCCTTGATTTTCAGTGAAATTTTGCTCTACGTTCACAGCTCAACCAATCCAGTTGTTTACGGTACAATCTTGAATGAATATCGCTCGGGGATTTGCCACTATCTGAGGCGTATTTTTCCTTTCCTCGGGGGACGTTTTACAAACGGAACTCAAGTTCATCCAAGTCAGAGGGTTTTGGATATGAAGGCTTCCCACAGTCATTCTATGGCTTTGGCAAATCAAAGGTCTTATCAATTACAAAGTATAGAGAACGTTGCATGACGAAGGAAAACTGTGTCTAATTTTTCCATATTCAGTGTATACATTGTGTTATATAATAAGCCTGAAAGCTGAAAATGGCATCTCCTTTTTTGTGACAATTTGCGGCATGTTTAGAACGCATTTAACAATGAACATAGTAAACTCTTAATGTATTTCATGCAAGAATATTGTCCAAGATGGTTTTGTAGTTTTTGAAAAAGCACTTAATCAGCATTTTATGATTATTAAAGTAATCATAACCCGTGTTGCAACAGTTTGAAAGGGCCAAAGTTAATGTGATTAAGACATAGAAGTCTTTCTTCTCCTTCTAGCCTTTTGCCAACCTGAAATAATAACGTTCTTAACAAACAAAATCAACAAAGTTGTTTGTTGTAAATATATAGAGCTATGTCACCCCTGAACTTGGTCAGTTTTGAGGCCCTTGAGTGTCATTGATTAAAAACAAACTATAACGGTAATAATAATAATAAAAAATGTGTTCACTGTCTTGATTAGCATGATGGGTTCCTCCCACAGTCATTTTTGACGAACGCAAACTACGGTGGCCGTCCAGTAACAAATATGGGGCTAAAGGGCCTATTCCTCTCGGGGGAGGTGAGGGGGGGGGGGGGGGGGGG